TTGTGGTGTGTTTGTATGTGCTTTGCATATAGATATTTTCTTTTCTCACCGTATAAATTGTGGATGTTTTAGGTGAGGAAGATCCGGCTTCGAGTGGCATCTAGAATGCCAACAGTTGAATTGTGGGTATGCTCTGATATTGTGACATCGGGGCAGAGGATTTTTAGGACATAAATTTTTATATGGATTTGGAATTGTAATTATTATTTTTGAAAACAATTTGTAAACTCCTGCGTTTCATTTTTATTATTGTGGTTATTGAAGAATAATTTTGAAGATTCTCATGTGAACCCTTTTACCAAAATTGAAAAATTTATTTGTAAGTTTTCATTATTACAATATATGTGTTGGGGTAGTAAGGGTGTCACATTTAGTGGTATCAGAGCAGGTCGATCCAATCGGCCGTGAGTTATGAGTCTACTATGCTTGTTTGGTAGATAATTGATGGAATGAATTGATTGTGGAATTTGTTGATATGTTAGTGCTATGATTGATTAAGTTTGTTGTTTACTTATAGTATAATTGTTAACTTTTTTGGTGATCAGAAAAGTAATGGCAGGAGGTAGGAACGATCGTGCAATCGTTGATGCTCTACAAGCGATGGCTCAGGCTCTTGGTAATTTGAACCAACGACCAGAGATAGATTATTTGGAGAGATTCCAGTGCAATAATTCGCCAAGCTTCCGTGGGGGTTATAAACCTGATGGAGTTGCTGACTGGATTTTTGAAGTTGAAAAGATATTCCAAGCTATGAGATGTCCTTTGATACAGAAGGTGACTTTGGCTGCTTTCATGCTTTATGGAGAGGCTGACATCTAGTGGCAAGGTGCTTTGCAAAGAATGATAGCTGCAGGTACCCAAGTGAACTGGGAGAATTTCAAGCAGCTATTCTTGGAGAAATACTTTTCCCGAGATGTGAGACATAAGAAACAGGTAGAATTCCTTGAGTTGAAGCAAGGAGAAAATTTTGTGGCTGAGTATGTGACTAAGTTTGAAAATTTGGTCAGATTTTGTCCTATGTATGAAGGTGTGGGCAATGAGGAGGAAAAATGTGTAAAGTTTGTGAGTGGTCTTAGACCTCAGATTAAACAAGTTTTCAATTATCAAGGGATCACTCACTATCATGAATTAGTAAACAAGTGCCGAGTATATGATGAGGACAACCGTGCTAGGGTAACTCATTATAAGAGTGGAGGACCCATGAGGAATAATAAGTTTGGGTCATCTAGTAAGGGTAAACCTTACACCAAGTCTGCCGGGAATTCGAGTTCTAAATTGAATAATCAAGATTCTGTGCAACAAAGGAGCCAAGCTAGCAAAATGTCTAGAGGAGGGAGTGTGAGTTCTATTCCACACAACAACTACTTCAACTGTGGGAAGCCAGGGCATAGGGCAATTGAGTGTCAGATACCAAGAGCAATAACATGTTACAACTATCAACAGAATGGACACAAAGCTAATGAATTCCCCAATAACAAGAAAGGAACAACAGAGGTTGGAGGGAGCGCTAGTAAACCTAGAGCGACAGGAAGGGTGTTTGTCTTGAGTGGTGCTGAAGCTACTCAATCCAAAGACTTAATCCAGGGTATGTGTTTCATCAATGGAACTCCTCTAATTGTTTTGTATGACTCTGGTGCGACTCACTCTTTTATATCACATGTGTGTGTGTCCAAATTAAAATTACCTGTTTCTTCCTTGTCTTTTGAATTAATATTAGAAACACCAACTAGTGGTTCAGTGTCTACTTCTAATATCTGTTTAAAGTTTCCTTTGATTATTGATGGTAGAGATTCCATGGTTGACTTAATTTTTTTGCCTCTAAGTCAACTAGATGTTATTATGGGTATGGACTGGTTATCTTCCAATCAGTGGAACATAAGTTCTTAATGCATAGATCAAATTTGTAAATTTTTAAAAAATTTAAAAATTATTTGATATTTCATTACATTAATTCAAATGAATGTATAAAATGACTTTATGATTATCCGTCAATTTGAATTAATAAAATGAAGTATTTAATGATTTTCAAATTTTTTAAAAAATTTACAGATTTAATCAATGCATTAATAACTTTAAATTCAACAGTTGGATCGTTGAAATTTAATATAGAACATGAGTTGATACACTTACTAATCTCTAGTCGATTATATTACTTCACTTTTCCTTTTCTGTTTTATAGTCTCAATTTACTTTTCACTTTCATATATAATTTTCTTATATTAGTTACTCCATTTCATTTATTTAAATTAATATATAATTAAAAATTATAATACATAAATCAAATTTATAAATTTTTAAAAAATTTAAAAATTATTTGATATTTCATTACATTTATTTAAATTAATGTACAAAATATTTTTATGATTATTCATCAATTTTAAATTAATGAAATAGAGAATCAAATAGTTTTAAATATTTTTTAAAAAATTAAAACTATATATTTTTATTAAAAAAAATTAATTTAACAGTTAGATCATTGAAATTTTATGTAAAACATAAGTTATTGAGTGGAGTAAGCCTAAGTAGACTGACTCTTGTTGCAAGTAGGGGTGGGTATGCGGACCGGTCCGGCCCGTTTAAGGCCCGGTCCGCGAAATCCGCATTTTTAACGGGCCGGATAAATCCGGTCCGCGAAATAAATGGACTTAAATTTTCAAGTCCGTATCCGGCCCGTGAAACCCGCGGATAAACGGATAAGTCCGCGGGCCCAATTAAATCTAAATTTTTTTAATGAATATTGACACATTTAATGAGATTTTGAATTTCTTTTTCTTTATTTAACCTATGAAAACATGAGGAAAAAAAATACATATAAAATGATATAAATATACTTCTAATAGTAACATCAAACATTATATAAATAATAAACCAAAGTCTTAAATAACAAAGTTTATACATTCTAAATTTCTAATAGAAATATTTAAGTCTCAATGCCTTTAAAATTTAAAGTCCAAGCATACCAACTATTAACCAAATATTAAAGCCTTACTACCTTAAAACTTTAAAAGTCTTAATACACAACCAAACAAATTTAAAGTTCCACATTTAAACGGGTAATCCGCGGGCTCGCGGATTAAATCCGCAAAATCCGCGGACTTAACGGGCCGGACCTAAAAAGTCCATATGATTATACGGATTAAAAAAATTGAGTCCGTTATCCGTGAAGTCCGCGGACTTACGGACCGGTCCGCGGACTCGAGTCCATATACCCACCCCTAGTTGTTAATAATAAATTTTTTTTGAACTTTAGTACAACAAGTAAATAGGTATGTTCAGATTACTCTAGACCTCAAGTTTAAAGGACACTTGTATGAGATGGTATATTACAAATATAAAATTATTCAGATGTCTTTACTTAACAATTCTATGATTTTTGGATATTTGATTTAGTATGACAAATTGATGTTTGATTGATGAATGGGATGTTGATATTTTTCTCGATGTCTTTACAGTAGGTTGTGTCCGGGAATGAATCGGTTCTTATAGTTATAAATTCAGATTATAGACAGTAGGTTGTAAATTTATAATTTCTGTCAGCCTTTTTAGCATAGGTTTAATGGATGTGTATTGCAATCGTAAGTTAAATCAATGTTTGACTATTAATTTTTATAAAAATTAATGAATTTATTATTTATAGTGGTGTGTGATTAGATAAGAGTTAATTATTTATACACTGTCAGTATAAATTTTTTTTACACTACAACCAATCATATCTTTTAAATAATTTTATTTTATTTTTATTTTATTAAATAAGTAACTAATGTGACACTATTAAAATATATGATTGGTTGTTAGTGTAAGAAAATTTTACACTGACGATATATATGTGATTAACTCATTAGATATTTGTGTAAATTGTTTTACATGTCTGATGCAGTCTTTTTTTTTTCTCTATATAATATAATTATAGTTAACCTATTGGCCATAAGTGAAAATGGGAGTTGCAAAAGATCCTGAACTTTTTGGTTTTTTACATTTATAATTTCATAATATTGTCATGAAAGGAATGACGTAGTAACTTTAGTACAGATCAACGAGATTAACAAGGAGAATAAGTGGCAACAATTTGTTGATAGTCATATTGACGATTTTGACTTTGACAATGATGTGGATACTTGTTAATATGACAGGTCCAAACTTAAATAAGTTGTCCCCAAACATTGAAGAGTGTAGTTAGGTTCTAGATTTTATAAAATAAATCCTTAAAATAATCTTATTCTACAAAGTTATAAATATTTTTTTTATGTTAAATATATATTTTTAGATAATATATAATATTTTTACTCATTTTTCTATAATTTAAAGATATTATTTGATTCCTTTCATTAAAAAGGTAAAACAATGCAGCCTAATTAGTAGATAAATATTTTTTTTTATCAATTGACTAGAATTTGATTTGTCAATTTGGTGATCTCTACGCTTCTAAAATAATTAAACTCCAAAAAGTAAAACAATTTTATATTAATGCATTTGATAATATTAATTCATTTTAGATAGGTTAAAGAGTATAAAACTCAGTAACAAGTTAAACCATATTTAATGCATTTTTTTTCATTAAATCAAAAGGGACAAATTCTCTTAAAATAAACAGTGAAAAAATAAACTCTTTTTAAAAGTGAAAATCAAATTCATACATCTCAAATTCAAAGAAAGTTAAATGAAAAACTTTTAAAAGGTTAAAAATACATATATTAATTTTAATTTATTATTTTTTAATCATTTTAATTTTTTATTTCTTTTTCATATAAATACTTTTTAAAAAATAACCTTATGTCATCTCAACTCATGCATTTAAAAAAAACTATCAATTTTGATACAAACTGTATTTAAAAATATTCGAAAAACATATTAGTCTAACAAAATTGTCTATATATATATATATGAAAAAGAATCCGTTTATTCCATCAGTAAGTTTAACTATACTTACTCCGTTCAATAACTCATATTCTACATCAAATTTTAACATAAAAAAATCATTTGATATATTGATTTGAATTAATGAAACGAAGTTTGATGTGGAACATAAGTTCTTAATGCATAGATCAAATTTGTAAATTTTTAAAAAATTTAAAAATTATTTGATATTTCATTACATTAATTCAAATGAATGTATAAAATGACTTTATGATTATCCGTCAATTTGAATTAATAAAATGAAGTATTTAATGATTTTCAAATTTTTTAAAAAATTTACAGATTTAATCAATGCATTAATAACTTTAAAAAAATTTCTAAAAGCGGGAGAGAATTGTAACACCCCAGTTTTTATTTCATTTTTTATTTTATTTTAATTGAGGGTATTTTGATAATTTTATAAAAGTGTAGGGTTGATTTAGTAGCTTGGAACGGGTTGTTTCAGAATTGAACGAGCTGTTCCAAACTACCAAAATGTATGTGAGTTAGTAGCCCAGAACGGGATGTTCTCAAGTTGGAACGGGCCGTTCTGGACTATTAAAAACTACCTTTAACTCTAAGTGGGAACGAGTTTGGAACGGGCTTTGGCCATTGTGAGTAATAAATGCACACCAGAACGGATCATTCTGGTTTGAGAACGGGCTGTTCTGGGTGTGATTTTTACCCATGATTTAAAGATCCAGAACGGGCCATACCGAATTTGGAACGGGCCGTTCCGGCGAAGCCTGATGCCTATAAATTGAGCTCTTTGCCACTCCCAAAAAAAGCACACTTCTCATTTTCTGATTTCTTTTCTTCTACTCTCTCTTCTTTTCTCTCTACTTTCTGCTTTAGACCGAGGGGAACCCAGCAAGGGAGACCAACCAGATCTTGTATAGGTTCAGCTTCTACATATCCAGGTACGGGGGAAAAAGGAGATTATTTATATGTAGAGTTACATGAGGGAATTGGGTAGAGGAAGAACCCTTAGGATTATGAGTAATTTTATAATTATTTCTGTTTGGAGAATTATTGTTCTTATGTGATTCTGTATATATTTAGGACTACGAATATATGATTAATTTGTAAAAATGATGCTCTGGGAGAGTGAACGAAATTATAAAAAAGTGCCTGTTAGTTAGGTTTTGGAAAAATTGGATTATTTCTGTTTAAGAAATTGATGATCCCATTAGATTCTGTATGTATTGAGGATTAGAAATATATTTAATTTGAAAGAATGATGATCTGAGAGGGAGAACGAAATCGTAGAAAAGTGCCTATTAGTTAGGTTTTGGAATAATTGGGGGTTTTACTGTTTATGTTAAGATTATATTAAATTGATAATTCCATTAATTATTATATCAATTTATGAATGTTATTGCTATATTGCTTGATAAAAATTGATGATTTAGATGTGAATTGCTTGAGGTGTATGAAACCCATTATTTTGGACTTATCTATTGTGTATGTAATATGGAATTGAGATATGAGATGAGATGTTGTGTGGATATGATGATGATTGTGATTGTGGTTCCTCACACATATGACCAGGGATGAGACGAACCTTGAGTAGTGATGCTTCAAGGACGAGCGTGCCCCTGGCATGGTGTGGGATGAGTGAGGTAATTAACACGCATCACTTATGTCAAATATGGCAACCCTGTCATAGGATTAATTGCAAGACTTGTGTGGATTGTAATGTGATTGTGGTTCCTCACACTAATGACCAGGGATGAGACGAACCCTGGGTAAGTGATGCTACAAGGACGAGCGTGCCCCTGGCATGGTGTGGGATGAGTGAGGCAATTAACCCGTATCACTTGTGTCAGTTGTGGCATGGTCTTGACATAGTCTTAATTGTAAGATTTATGTGGATTGTGATGGATTGATGTAATTTTGAATTGAGATGTGAAG